AATAAATCCTTCATCACTTCCACATATGCATCCATTTCTCTATTGCTCGTCCTCGTTATAGATGTATTTGACTCACTAAATCTATCTACATTTTGTAATTTGTGTTTTTTATTAGCTTTGTCTAAAATATGTTTGATTATTAAGCTTTCTATATCTCCATTCCTATTATTTTCTATTGCTTCACTGTTTTCCTCGTTATCATTGTCATTATTTACATCCTGTTTTTCATTTACTTCTATGCTATTCAATTTCTCTCTCTCATTCTTAATTTCTTCCTCTGTTTCTGTTGAAAAATAATCTCCGCTGATTGAATTTTCTACGCTTCCCTTATCATTAGCTGTTATGTATTTCATGATTATTATATCGTTTCTATTTTTTTCTCTTTCATTAGGTTTACAATTAAGCCTCTTCTTTCCTTTTTTGGATCTAAAGCATTGTAGTTTAGGTATCGTTATAACTCTATCATCAAATGTATTGGGGTGTGGTGTTATTGCTAATACTTCATCATTGCCATGAACAATTTTGTTATACTTAATTGAATTTATGTTTGATTTTGGTCTCTTTTCTGTATGTGACTTATCCTGCATATTACCAACTCTAACAGATCGGAGCCAGTTTTTCATAGTTTTCTCATCTATATCATCATCTAAATTTAGTCGGCCGAAGTAATAATCCATTGCTATATCACTTGGATCTTCGGAATCATCATCAAGGGTCCTATACTTTTTATCAGGCAATGATTTAACTTTGCCATTCCTACTAAGTTTAGTTCTAAGATAAATTTTAGGTTTTACACTATCAGTTTTACTTTTAACTGCAATTGAAGTTACTCTATTATCTATAGATGGTACATAACCAAATATTTTATTCTGAAATAGAATTTTCCTGATCGCTCTTAGAAGATTTCCGTTTTCATTTTTAATATTTTGGTAAAGATGCTGTTCTTCACTAGATCTGGGAAATAAGGCTTTAGTGTATTCTCTGTTATGTCTGTTATTCTTTTTAGTTCTTTTTCTATATCCTTTCTTAGCAATTGTGCCAAAGTAATAATCTGCATCTAAGTAATCATCTGGATTAAAATATATTTTCTCAGTCTTAGGTTTTGTGTCAACTAAAGGTGAAGATATTTGATATGTTTTCCCCTTTCGTTTTTTTATTGCATTATTCGACTCTTTTACATGAAATCTGAATTTTCTATTATCGTCGTAATTAATTTTGCTTTCATAACTATTTGCATCAAAGAACATGTCAACATATCTTTTATTTTCATTCACATTTTTTAGTATTGCGTCGTTATTTACATCTTCGTTGTTAGGTCCAAGCTTATTATAAGAATTGAAATAAGCATTGTTTGGTGAATAATTGTAAATGGGCACATAAAATGGTTGGTCTTGGTCGTGATTATCGTGTAAGAAAGGTGTTTCATCTGCAGCTGAAAGTATATTTGTAATATATGATTTAAAGGTAAAAATAAAATATACTGTCTACTTAATAGTAAGTAAGTAATAGTTATTTAAATAAGCATCTTAATTTTACTTTATTTTGAAGTAGAGTCAGGGCATGTAACATTACTCCAGTACCAGAAGCTAAAGAAACTTATCTTAAAATGCACAATTTCTATGTTCCATGTCTGGAAATTAGATTAAAAATCCCCAAAAATTTAAAGGGTAAAAAATTTAAATCCTTTTTAATCATTTGTCCTCAATAAATTTGTTATACTTACGAATTTCATACACGCTGTATTTTTTAATTTTATTGGTTTTTAATTTTATATCTAGATGTTTATTAATAGAGTTATCTTCTATCGATTCGTCACTGTCAGTCTGCATGCCTTCTCTTAACATTTTTGTTATCTTATCTACATAATGCACAATGATTTTATTTTCATTATTATTTAAATCATTCGCATTATCTATTTTATCGTTTTTATCAAAAATGAAGTTGTTGGTATTTGATTCAGACACAAGTTCTGATTTAACAGATGTTAAGTGATCATTTAAATATGAAATATTTTTAATTGATTCAGTAGTTGGTGTAATTGCAGTAATACCTTTTATTTCATCATTATTATTTTCAGTCGTTAGAGTTTTGTTATTTATATTATCTGTAGTGGTTTTAACATCGTCCTTTAAAGTTGTTGGTCGTGGAATTGCTGTATCGCCATTTCTTATAATTTCCAATGCACGTTTTGTTGTGTAAGTTTCTTGAGTTATGTTTAAATCTAAGTTACTTATGGTACTGGTAGTAACGTTGTTAGGTAATATGGAATTATTTAAGGTTTTTTGGACTTCTTGTAATTTAAAGTTATGTTCTGTATTATTTTCTTTCGAAACTACTTTCAACGCATCATTTTCATTGGAAGAATAATTTATCTCAATATTATCTTTATCCGCCTGCCTATTATGTACCTCTTCATTGGCTGTACCTTTTAGTACTAATGGTAAAATAGTATTTTCTTCTAAATTATTTCTTGCTGTACTGTGTTGAGTCGTTATGAAATCTTGTGCTGTTGTAATATCGTTTGTATCATAAGTAACATTATTAAACCTTCTTAAAAGAGTAACTTTTTTATTACTAGAATTGGAATTCAAACTTTCATCAGTAGTGACATATATAGGTAATTGAGATGCGATATGAGTATTATTTAAATAAATTTTTTGGTCTTCAACGTTTACATTTTCTAATGGACTTTCTTTACTTTCAGATGAATTTACAGATTCTCCGTTCTCAAATGTATTTAGTACTTTTTGTGAAAATCCATCTACAAGCTTCGACTCTTCCATTTTGATTTCATGACTCTCATAATATTTCGTTGTTACTAAATTACTTGTTTCATTTTCCACTGTATCGTAAGATGTTATACCCTCTTGTATGCCTTGTGATTTATCAAATTCTGTACTGTCTTTCGAACTAGAATTTATAATTTCTGTTGCCAAGAAATCTGTAGTATTCAATATAGTTGGTACAATACTAGTCGATGATGAATTCCCCAAATGTCTTTTAAAACCTCTTACTTGTATATCACTTTCATCCACATTGCTTTTTTTTAATGGTATTACGCTACTGCCGACATTAATATCGTTTACTGAGTTTACATTATCATAATGTTGATTATGATTTTCTTTTGTAACATCGCCATCATATTTAGGTTTAGATGATATAGTACCATTGTAATTACTACCTAACTCCTTATTTATATTATCTACACTGCCGTTTCTTTTTTTCCTAGATCTCTGACGAAATGTTAAATCTATGTGATCTTTATCATGTTCATCTTCAACCTGTATTAATGTTTTATCACTTACTAATGGCCTTGTTTGTTCATCTTCTGTAAGACTAATAGTATCGTTTTTATTTATATCCGTCTCGTCTGTTCTAGTCCGTCTAAGATTATCAGACTCTTCCCTTATTACCTTATTAACATATTCATTGTGTTTATTCAATTCTTCATTAGAAATTTCTTTACTACTCTCATAAGGTTCGTCTTTGGTTTGGATTTCACTAAATATACGTCTAGCTATTATGTCTAGGAAAGCTTGTTTTTCCTCGTCCGGTAGTAAATCTATATATTTTGTTTCATTGCTGTTATTACTTTCAGTATGAGTTGAACAGATGAACATTAACAAAAATATTAAACGCATTTTCTTTAAGTCATTTTTCGCGCAAAACGACAGGTTTTAGTGATATGGGTTGATTAAAAACAGCACCTGATTTGAAGTCACATAAAAAATCAATCAAGCATATGTACCCGTGAAATTGATTATGATAAGGGAATTACTAAATCTTTGATTGAGATGGTTTTAAGGATTTAAGATTATTTCAATGAATATACGTACATATTTCAAAGTAGATTTTACATATGATGTGAAATAATTACATATCGATTATTTATTCCAATATGTATTACATTTAAACAAGATTGTTTATTCTACTAAACATGCTGCATTTGTGTTTCAATTTAAAATCGTTAGTTCAAATCAAAATAAATTTAAATTTATATTGCGATAAACAGTAGCTATCGATATTGCAATCGTTTAATTGATCTATCTATTACATTACTAAAATAAATATATTATAAGGACTAAGGCCATTGAAGTCGATACAGATAAGCGTGGACTGGTGAAATATTCAGGAATGAAAAATGATTGAAGTTTACAGCTGTCCGTGTCGCTTGCGCATATATAGCGTGAGGATAGTGGACGCGGTCACCTGAGGTGCGAGGGAAGTGATAACTGCTATAGGTGTCGCTATCTACGCACAAGCGGTGGGATCAATTTAATTACCAAATAAGTAGGTATACAGGTATGTAACATTAAATTTTACAGATACACCCTACAAACAAACAATATATTTGAACACTGAAGTATCAATTTATGCATATATGTAGTAAAAGGTAAGTAATCATTTATATTTGTATGGTTATTTCTATATATTGTTATGTGTTTATTTTAATGTTTTATTTTACAGGTCCGGTTTGCAGTCGCGAGGCACGTCGGCTACAGCCATAAACACAATGGTAAGACATATAGCCCAAAGACAATATTTAGATAGGTAGATCATACATTTTTAAGTTTATGTACATTTGTTGTTTTTAATGATATTGATACAAATGTTGATACAAACAGAAACATCTACAGTTATGTACATATCACAAGAAATGATACAGATGATTTCAATAAATATATTTTTTATGAATCTGCAAGAACACACTTTTATTGAACGAGCATTGCCGAACTTTTAAGAAGGAATAAGCTCATTTATTGAAGTTTTCAATATCCAATAGGTTTGAAATACGAAGGAAGGCCGAAAAAGAGGTGGAGGGACTGTGTGAAAGATGATATTGCAAACAAGGGAGTAAATAACGAGATGACAGCAAACAGAGATGTAGGTGATGGAGGAGAAAAACATATTACGACCCCAAATAAATGGGATAAGGAAAAAGCAGATGATGAGTATAAAAACTTTCAAATCACAGATTGCATCATTTATTAAGACTACCATTTGTATTTACAATTATTAAAAATGCTTCAGTTTAATAATTTCTCCAGTCGATTGTTCTCGTCTAATCAAAATAAATCGATTTAACGCGAAACTAGTTAACATTCACATATTACATGTAATTCTTATACGTTAAATTTAAATCTAAATGCACCTCTACCAATTTTCTTCTCATTCCATTTCATGCTTCTTTCTAATGCTATTCTTGAGTTGATATCGTCTATTTCATCATTTGTATCAAATTCAATTCTATCGTTATTGTATTTAGGTAAATATTCTTTTGCATCTGCTATTATTGGTATTACGTCCGGATTAAATTCAGCATCTCTTTCCAACTCGATAATTTCGTCTTCTTCTCTCCTTGTTTCTTCATCAACAAACTCTTTGAACACATCTTCGTTAATTTCATTTCTGTTTCTATTATCAATAAGGTTCTGTTTTCTTCTATGTATCTTATTTCTTTTAGAATTACTGACAGTTTCTTTGTTATTGTTGGATTCGTTGTTATTTGTTTCCATTTCTTTTGTATCGTTAGATACTTTACCAAATTCCATGTTCACGTCATAATACATGGGAGCATCTTCACATGGAACGGCATCCCGTGGTCTTGTACATACTAACACCTCCTAAAAACAATTATTAACTTTATTACAATAGAAATAGAAATAGAAATAATCTTTATTCAAATAAACTCATTACAAGCACTTTTGAATAGTCATATTTTGATTCTACCACTCATTCGGAATGCAGATTCATCACAAGAAGAATGAGCAAGAAACTTGTGTGTTGCTCTTTTTAATAGATGTTTTTTTTTATATAAATAATTACAGTATAACAAGTAAGAGGCATGCGATAATCAACATAGAAGTCGCTACGCACTCATTATTAATGTAATCAGATAATATTGTCAGTGCTATAGATTTAAAGTTTTTCTATAAAAATATACAATTACAGAAGGTAGAGTATTGTGTTTTTTTTTATACTACGATGGTGGTAAACAAGTATACGAACTATCTGATGGTAAATGATTGCCGTAGCCTATGGACGCCTGAAACACAAGGGGTGTCACGTGCGCGTTGTCGACCCTTAAGAAACCTTAATATACCCTTCTTGAAAAACCCCATGCAGTAGTGTTATGGGAAAACCTCGAACCTGTTACTTTCAATTACTTACAAATTTACTAGCTGTTACGAGCAACTAACTGTCCTTTTTAGATCTGTTAGTCTAATATAGTCTATATCCAGCCTCATGAAACGATATATTCACGGCTAATTTTAATTAAGGTCTCTTAAGGTTTTCTTCCCAAGGATTATATTGTTCAAACCAGAACCTCATTGGCATGGAGTTAAAATAAATATTTTTTCTAATATAAAAGTAAGCTTATTACTCCTTATAACATACGCTATCTGCGAATGAGAGGCCCGTCAAAATCGGGAAAAAAATCACCCAGGCCGATACAAACAATCATACTCATGAATACAAATATTTGTACCGTGCGAGGAATCGAACATATACAACGAAACATCGGTAAAAGAAAGAAAAATATGCGAACAAAAGGCGGTCTTATCGCTCAAAGCGATCTCTTATTTATACATATATATAATGAATATGTTTATATTTATATGTATATATTTATGTATGTTTATATTTTTTTATCGAAATTTATATTCAAAATATTTTGCTTTGTATTTCTATACCATTTTTAACATTTCACATTTATTTTAGTGCACCGCAAACAATCTCTGCATCACTCATGGTTGCCTGGTACATAACGCTGCATGGTGTTAAGTCCGCCATATGTACACATTGTTTTTGTGAATTAGAAAGAAAGAAAGAAAGAAAGAAAGAAAGAAAAATATTTTATTCAGTGCAATGTAAAAAATACAATATAAACAACAAACGAAAAAAAGTTAAATAAATATATTACATGAGATCCATACCTGATTGAATATCGTCTCATTAGGACATATAAAACTCCATCTGTAGGTCACATTCCGTCCAGATGGTGCCTGTGATGGTAGACACACGTGGAACACTTGACAGTCGTTGTCCACATCCGCATAATAGCCGTAGGTTCGATTCTCGCAGCTGGAAATTTAATAATAATAATAATATCTCAGGACAATTCACACTGCGCCATCTACATAATCCCACCGTAAGCAGAGCTTGTGTTATGTGTAGTAGACAATTGGTATTAATCCTTACATACATAATAACAAAAAAAGAAGAAAATAAAAAATATATGTCAAAAGGATGTCGCCACGAAGGAAGTTGCAGATATTATTATAAACTAGTTGTTCCCGTGACTTCGTCCACGTGAAATTTAACTTTATTTTTCTAAAATAGAATATTTTATTAATGTAAAAATAGCCTTACTCCTTATTACATCAGCTACCTGCCAATGAAAGTCCCGTCAAAATCGGTTCAGCCATTTCAGAGATTATCCAGAACATACAGACAGACAAAAATTAAAAAAAGTGTTATTTTGGTGTATGTACCGTATTTATATTCATTTGCATGTAACGGTTTGCAAGAAACGGTTATTTCAATATTACAAACAGACACTCCACTTTTATATATATGTATAGATGAAAAAAATAATAATAGGTATGATTATTCAAAAATGCTTAAATTCAATTTGTTAGATACAATGATTTTCTATTCTATTCTATTCATACGCTTTTTAAATAAATACATAATACATAAAAAACCGTGCGAGGTATCGAACCGCGACCATCGGAAGTAAAGCAGTGTACTAAACCGCTAGACCACCGGGTTCGTCAATAATGAAACACAATAAATAATTTACCTGAAGGTATCTGTTATATTTTCTCTGATGGATGTTGCATTGGCCGGCAGATTGAGTGTGTCACTTTGTGTTTGATTTGCCACAGCCTAAAAATATATATACCGACATAAGTAATGAAAAAAAAACAAAGAAAAAGAATAAAAATATTGTTATCTAGCTGTACCCGCCACATCGTCCGCGTGGAATTTAACAAAAGAGTTAATTAAAGAATTTTTCTAAAATAAAAGTAGCCTAAGTTACTACTTATTGCATCAGCTACTTGTCAATAAAAGTCCCATCAAAATCGGTACAGCCATTTCAGAGATTAACCGGAACAAACAGACAGATAGACAAAAATTGTTAAAAGTGTTATTTCGGTGTATGTATTGTATTTATATTCATACGCATGTAGTAAAAAACGGTTATTTCAATATTACAAACAGACACTCCAATTTTATTTATATGTATACATTATAACTCTTATAGATTAGTGGGAAACTTCGTCTAGTCTTCTCGTCGTCGCTTCCCAAAGACTTAAGACACGTTTATAACTAGTGCGTTATGAGTCATAACGCAATGTGACCAGACGTCCCGTAATGAACGGGACAGTCCCTTTTTATAATTACGAGTCCCGGTGTCCCCGAAACGGACTCTGGGACGCAAAATTGTCCCGTTTTCGGTGACGGTGCGAAATTTTGGGTAGACGAGCCGGTTGTTAGTTGTTGGTAATTAAGGTGAGTATAAAAAAAATGTGCCAAGAGTGTCCTTCTTACTTAAATACTTCTTAAAAAGTCAAATTTGTTCCTCCGATAACAAAACATTTTATTTTTATCAGATAAATATAAACTATCTATGAGTAAACAAAATGTTTAATTATATTTATCGGATATATTTCCTAATTGATAACTTTTTTTGAATAGATAATTTTAAAAAAAGAGTTTTTTTCATTGGCTGTCTGTTAATTGTGTCCCGTTTTGAGTCGAAGAATAAATGGTCACATTATCATGTCATGTCATATCATCATGTCATAACTTATGACTTACGGTGCCGAAACGTGGACACTGACGATACGACTGGTCCACCAACTCAAAGTCGTTATTTATACATATGCCTATTACAAAAATCTAATAACAATGAAATAATGAAAAATTATGCATTTAAGTCATATGACCAACACTCGGCATTAGTTCGACAACTTACTGTCACAGCGCCATCGAGTCTCAAACTAAGCAAAGCTTGTGTTATGAGTACTAATGGCTAGTACTAGACAACTGATACATAGATATATACTTTTTTTGTAAACACATTATACATAGAAAACACTCAAACTGATACAAAAAATCATACTCATGAATACAAATGTTTGCACTCTGCGTGGCATCGAACCCGCGGCCGTCGGATGTAAGGCGGTGTGCTAAACCTTTAGACCGTCATTTAGTAAGAACTACATTTACTACAAAGTAAATGACGGCGTCATTTACTTTGTAAACTGTACTGTACTAAATATGTAATTTGACAGTCTCGATTCGATTCCTCGCGAGGCACAAACATTTATATTCATGAGTATGATTGTTTGTATCAGTCTGAGTGTTTTCTATGTATGTTAAGTATGTATTTATATCAGTAATACATCATATAATATGTATGTGCACAGAAGCACAGAGCAACACACAAGTTTCTTGCTCATTATTCTTGATGAATCTGCAGTCCGAATGAGTGGTAAAATAAAATATGACTATTCAAAAGTGCTTGTAATGAGTTTATTTGAATAATGATTATTTCTGTTTCTATTCTATTCTATTCTATGTATTTACGAAAAAATCTATGTAATAACTTATCCACTTACCCTTAATAACTTAATCATCATTCCCGTGCTTAATTCCACATCAATATCGTCTGCTTTTACATAACACACTATTAGAAGTACTAAAACACATTTCCACGTGATCGACGCCATCTTGTTATTCGCAATTCATATGTTTTTCTCTCTGAAAATGATAAAATTGTTATTGTAAACAATTATGCAAATTGTTTAATAGGATATCTTGTTTTTGAAATAATTAAATGTATGGCCATTATAAAAATGTAATCTTTTTATGATGTATCCTTAAACCCGTTCAATCCATTATTTGCAATTCGAGAATATTATAATACAATTAAATAATAAATATAACAATGTATATTTGCTCTCAAAATTCTCTGCAATTTATAATCTCTATACAATTTTTTTTTTGCTTTTGTCAGTTTTTTGGCGCCAAAGTTATTTTACTTTTTTAATATCGACTAAATGCAACAGAACGACATCAAAAAGTTATATTTACATTATAAAAATTAACAAATTATAATATTGAAATAATATTATAAGTAGGATATTTAACGCAGATATAGTAATTAAAAGATGGGATTTTGATTGATTCATTTGCAACCCAATAAATAACCCATCTTGATTTTGTACGGGTGCTTTTATTACAAAATCTCTGGATGTTTAAAAAATACTTTTTATTGATCTGTATTTTGAATCATTGTTGCCGTAACCACAGATAACATAATATTACATACCGTAACACAGTTTTTACTAGCACGTGAGGTAGTTTTATTTCTTTGAAATATTTTTTTTAAAGAAATATTAGCCCATGCGTATTTCTCATAATGTAATTTTCTATACGAAATGAAATTTTAAAATTATTTATGTATATAGTTATCTTCTAGATTTTTTTTTATAAACAACAGCCCACATATCTCATTGATTAGAAAGAGTCCTCATTACTCCCTAATATTTTATCTATCTATATGCGAGTTTTTAAAATCGATCGAGTATTTTCGTTTTAAGTAGTTTAAAAGTTAAGCTGGCTAAAGCTTGTGTTACGAGTACTAGATAACTGATACAAGTACATAGACATTTTTTTTTCCTAAATACATACATATTACACATAGAAAACACCCAGACCGATACAAACAATCATACTCATGAATACAAAATGTTTGTGTCGTGCGAGGAATCGAACCCGCGACCATCGGACGTAAAGCGGTGTGCTAGACCGCTAGACCACCGAGGTCGTCAATATATAAATAACTATAATTTCCAATAACTTTGCACCGTTCTCAACTAAAATGGCTCCCTATACGTCAGCGTAGGCAAAAGCGGTTACTTTTTACTCTTTTCTCAATTCTTTTTGATCCTGCTTCCCCGGAATATTTGAAATACAAATTTCAATATCTCCGGGACTCTCATGACAGCCAACTGCGTTCTAAAGACTCTCTTTGAGTCCAAACTCTTCATAAAACTAATTTTGTATCTTACTTTTTTAGTCTACAATCTTCACGGCTCTGGAACTCACTCCCTGAACGCATTCAAACTATCACCAATAAATATACTTTAAAAAAAAATATTCATGCTTATCTTTTAAGTTAATTGTCATAGAACAAGTAATGTATTCATCATATTTAATGTATGTGTATATATATATTATCTCCATAAAATTAAAAGGTATAAAAAATATAATATAATAACGTTTGTAGTATTGTATGTAGTATGTAGTATAACTAAAATATATTATTAAAAGGGGTCCCTTTAGGCAAAGTTTCGTTGATACTGGCAGCGTTCCCTCTTTGAATGGCTAAACTAATTCTTTGTTCGAGGTAGCTGCCAGCTCTTCGGTCTTCTGTGATGTCGACTAACCTTTTCGTTATTTCTTTGAAAAGTCTTATAGCGCTAGGACCCCACGGACCAAGGGTCTCGACACCTAATGGGTCAAAATCATATTCAGAGCCTAAACCCCTGTATTCACATGCTTATTGTAATATGTATTACAATACATATTATGTATTGTATGTATGTTGTGTATATATGTTATAATATTCGCGTGTATTCTATTCTTGTTTAGTTATAGTTTAATCTAATATTTGTATATATGTTATTTATATAATTAATGTTAAGCCACCATCATGTATTTCTGAACTTCCTGAAGGTTGACTGGTAGAGAATGCCTGTAGCATTAAGTCCGCCTTTTGTAGCATAATATATTGGTCAATAAAGTTTTAAATAAAAAAAAATAATACTACATCATAAACGGCAGATTGCCGTCGTCAGTGCCGTGACCATAGAGACAATTTTATTTTACATATTTGATTATTATTTCTTATGTATGTTAGTCTATAAGGTATTTATAATATGGGCCATGTAGCCTGAATTAAATAAATAAATTATTATAAAATTATAAATACTGAGTATTACTCAACAGACAGATATACATAAAATATACATATACATAACTCTTTGAGATATAAACAAAAATACTCACTTTCATATACCCAAACTGCCCTTAGAGCTTCATCCAAAATTAACACTTGGTACCGTCCCCAAACAAATTATAATTATTGTTATATAATTTATATATTATATTTATATATATAATAATCACTATCACACACGCTATCCTGGCTGTATCGCAAAATATATAGGAATGCGAAAATCGTCATGGCATCTCGCTCTTTTATAAACGTTGAAACGACACAGCAGTGTTTGAAGAATTCGCAATGAGAGATTAAGTACAGTTAACAAAAAAAGAATCATTCGTACCTTGTCTGCCTTATTAATATCTATCTAAATATATATAACTCAAAGGTGACTGACATAGATAAATTTGGCATGCAAGTAGATGTTATGACGTAGGCATCCGCTAAGAAAGGATTTTGATTAATTCTACCCCCAAGGAGATAAAATAGGGGATGAAAGTTTGTATGAAACTTTGTCAATTTTAATCCGATCGGGCTGAGACTTTGCATGCATAAAGCTACTATTTCGTAGGGATCCCCTAAGAAAGGATTTTGATCAATTCTGCCCCTAAGGGGATAAATTAACGTGAGCGAAGCCGCGAGAAAAAGAATTAATCAAAATCCTTTCTTAGCGGAAGCCTATATCATAACATCTATCTGCATGCCAAATTTCAGCCCGATCCGTCCAGTGGTTTGGGGTGTACGTTAATAGATCACTATGTCAGTCACCTTTGAGTTATATATATTTAGATAGATATTATACATTTGAAATTGAATTGACCTTACTTCCGATGGTCACGTGTATATGTACCTACACCATCAGAACGGTGACCTAAACCTCTCGACCACCACACCCGTCAAATCTACAGAACAAAGAAAAAAGAACTGGCAAGAACCCTTGAGTTTCTTGCCAGTTCTTCTCAACTGAAATAACTAGCCGAATCGGACTGTAAGTGATAAAAAAGTATGACGTGCACATATGGCAAAAATGTTATGCAATTTTTCTGCTGACGCCACAACAAATGAGCTTTGGCGCTGTCCAACAGTATGTGAGCCGAAAACCAATTGAGCTTAAATTCTATCAGACGATCATGTCCACTAATGAGGTCATCTAATTGATAAAACACCATTGAATAACTCCCTAAACCATTCGTCATACTCGTGAACGGGTGCTGCTTGTAGGACCTGATCACTATGACTGACCCGCATACTTCGTCTGCATCACACTTATTGATATTTATCATTATAATGATACCTGATTGAACAAAGATTGAGTGCGAAGTGGTTTCTATGTTGATTATCGCATGCCTAATCCTTGTTAATGTATATTTACATAGGACAACAGTTATTTAAAAGAGCAACAAGTTCTTTACTTGTCCTTCTTATATCTACACCTCTATAGATGGCATTCCGATTGAGCGGTAGATTAAAAAAGCTATGACTATTCAAAAGTGCTTAAATTAAGTTTATTTGAATAGAGGGTTTTTAAGAACTAATCACGAAATACAGAGAACGTATCGTGGGACTGTATTTTATCTTTATATATAAAACTCTCGTGTCACAATGTTAGTTACCATACTCCTCCGAAACGGCTTGACCGATTTTTATGAAATTTTGTATGCTTATTCAGTAGTCTATCTATTTTATTTTTCATACCCCTACGTGATAAGGGTTGTCAAGTGTTAAAAGGGTCATAATTTTTTTATATTGTGGCAAGAAAAAACATAGAATCCTAAAGTTTCGGCGGGAAAGGGTATTATTAGTAATGTAGACTGTTAACCCCGTTGCTAGCAATGTACCATGTCAGGTTGACTTCCACGCGGTTCCCCCTGGAAACTATCGTGATAAATTCCTGGTGAATTTACCACGATGGGCTAACTGACCTGACCTCATGTACATCTTATCATCCTCCACTGGTGCCCCGCCAGTAAACCGTTAGCGCAGGAGGGTGCACCATTCCATTATCCATAAAAAAAACCGTAAACTTACACCCTTCTACCATGAACCCTGATTTTTAATAGCGATTTTAATTTATATGGTCCTGAACTATATCCTGATCATCTGGATGAATGGCGGTCCTCCACAGTGCGGTTTTCTAGAAACTTTTTGCCACGCACAACCACATTGTGGATCACCTTCCAGCAATGGTATTTCCGAACCGATAAAATATTGAAACCTTCAAGAAAAGAGCTTATTCCTTTTTAAAAGGCCGACAACGTACTTCCAATTCCCCTGGTGTTGCGGGTGCTCATGGGCGTCGGTAATCACTTACTATCAGGTGAGCCGCATGCTCGTTTGTCCCCTGTGTTATAAAAAAATATATATGGCAAAACAACGTTTATTGGGTCAGCTAGTAATATTAGAAATTCGCTGTTACTTGCAACTTTGTAGTGCGTCTTTGGTAGTGTGTCGCTGTCTACATTCGCACCACTGAAAATCAGTGTTGTGTTATATTTCTTTAAATTAATTGTTTTTGGTCGCTCAATTGAGCTAAAGCAATACTTTACGCCGGAACAGCTCCTAAAACCAAGCTCAAGTTCGATCGTGCATGGAGTATTGTAGCCATTTGGATGGATCTGCTAAACATCAGCTGGCTGCCCTGGACTCTGTTGAGCACCGAGCTTTGAGGTTAATTGGAGATGATACTTTAATAAATGCTAGACTGCAGACGCTAGAACATCGACGCAAAGTGGCCAGTCTGTCGGTG